TCTGGATCTACATCAACCACCGACAAAAGTAGGAAAGTCCGAGGGCCAAAAAGCCATTAGAGGGCCGTTTCATAATATCAGAATTCGACACCGACACCGGCAAACCATTGAGACCACATGCTCAGACATATGTCAATCAATGTGGGTTCATTGTAAGGGATAGGATCCTAGTTAGTGCTCATGAATGGAAGCAGAAGATATCCGCTCCTAATGTTAGTTTTGTATCTGATCGTGACAAGAACCTAGCTTGGAGAGATATCACTCAGCATTTCACATTACAAGTAGATGATGCTTTGAAGGAGATAGTGAGGGATTGGACAATGAAGAAGATGGCAACATTGTTCCAGAGCTAGAAAAAGACATTGTATAAAAAGTTTATCTTGAAGAATGCTACGCCGGATTTTAATGCTAAGGCATTTGTCAAGTTGGAGTCCCATTGGGATGCCTTCGTAGAATACAAGACATCTCAAGACAGTGAGGAACGTGTGATGAGGAATCGGTAGAATGCCCGACAGAAGCAATACCATCATCGCATGGATCAGGTGGTTATAGGAGTGCTATTCCCAAGTGGCGTAACCTAGAAGCGAGATTACCGCCAAGGGAATCATACACAAAACAATAGAGAAGAATCGGCCTCAACGCGCGAAGAATTTGTTCTACGCTCATGGGGGAAGCCTAAACCCAGACACTAGCAAGCTAATTTTCGGCCAAAAAATTGAGAGAGCAACACAGAGACTAGCTCGTGCTAGGGAAAAAGCTGATAGTGGTGTTTTCAAGCCCAACAGAGAGAAGGATGAATTAACATATGCCCTAGAGAATCCCAAACACGGTGGTCGAACAAGAGGCTATGGAGCGGTTCCGTGGCTACACGCATTCCTAGCAGACAAGAATACCTACAGAAGCCACTAGAGAAAGAAGGATGAGGAGGCAGAACGAATCCGTGCATTGGAGCAATTTGTTGATGAGTCACGACAAGCATTACTTTAATCACGTGAACGAGAAAAATCTCTTGAGGCAAGAATGCAGGAGGAGATCAAGAGGCAAGTGCAGCTAGCAATGAGTCAAATGCAATCGCAATCAACGCTGGGAGTCACCATTAGCCCCGTTGGTCAGATGAAAAGCAGTTGTGCTTGTACGGAGCTACAAGTTATTCAAGACGACGCTGGGTTGCACTTCCCTGTTGATGACATTACCGAGCCTCTAACAACATGTGAGCTGCACATTCCAGATGGTAATAATGCATCAATCATGGTGGCTGTCGGGGTTGTATCTCCAATAGACCGAACGAAGACACCAAGAATCCATGTGTTAGTTATTCAACCTGGATATGCTAGCGTCTCGGTCGATAGAGTGCTCAAAGGTTACAGCAATGTTCCTCTTGACATTAAAGACGGTGATGGGGAGAAGACACTAGGAGAAGCGGAGAAGACATTTATTCAATGGCGCAAACGCTTCATCATCATTCCTGGGGCGCCACCGCTTCCCCTACCTCACCCTAGGTACGAATGAAAGTGAATGAAATATTATTTTCTATTAATTTTCTATTGGCTTCAAAAATAATTGACACACAACTTATTTTTGTAGCAGGGTCTCCCCCCAGCCTAGCCTAATCATTCATTCCCCATCTCATCACAGCGTCGCGGGGGTGAGACGACTTCATCCCCACGGTGATCGCCAACTCCTACACCGGCCCCATCGCCTCCACAACGATCTCCAACTCCTACACCGGCCCCACCGCCTCCACAACGATCTCCAACACCTCCACGCCGGTCTCCACCAACACCGGCCTCATCGCCTCCACGCCGGTCTCCAACACCGCCCCCACCCCCTCCACAGCGACGCACTACAAAGACGTCTAAGGTCCCGGCGGCAAAGAAGATCCCGAGAAAAAGAGTTATTTCTCAAGAAATACTTCCTGAAAAGACTGATGAGCAAATAGCAGCTGAAGAAGACAAAAAAGTGAAAGATTTTTTTATAGATATCAAAAACAAGAGTCAAGCGAAGCTTAAGGAGAAACCGTACTTTTACATACCATGAGATGTGCTGAGGCAGAAGGTCGATGCTCACAAGAAAAAGATGATTGAACTTCGTAAACCTTCGCCACTATCAGACTATGACCGCTCCCTCGTGAAGTCACATGATGCAGATAAGAAAAGGAAAAGAGCATCAGGGAAGGATGTCTCACAACTCGGACAATGTAAGCAACCAATGCAAAATCTTGTTGTTGCTAATGAATATGGTTCCAACATAGAAGTCTATCGACCGCATAACTCGGAGAAGTGTCGGTTCAAGCCCTTAATGCTTTTTTTGAAGATACCGGTTTAACCTTGGATCAATTGACGGGCAAAGCTCCAATCCGTAACTCGGAAGTTGATACCGGAAGACTTATAAATATGGCAAAAGTCTGTATAACCCTGCGGCTCTGAATGAATTGGGTACGCAAATGTACTTGCTCAACAAGTGGTACATGCAGGCATGTGGCAGGGGTGGGCAATGGATCTTTGTCAGATTTAGAGACCATCATTACTTCCGTGGTGATGACATCTTACATATTAGTTTCGAAGAATTGCATCAACTATACCACTTGGACGCCCGACAAATCAATCATTAGCTCCTTTTGTTTGTAAGTTTTCTTACTTTTATTTAATAAACTCACTTCCATGCGTGCGTGTATATAATTATCCTCACATGTAACTTATATTTATATATAGATTCCGGATGTCGAGCTCCAAAGAATACAAGACACCAAAGTTGGCTTCATTGATCCTTATATCGTATTCAAAACCGGTATTATTATCAAGGAGCGGTGGGTATCTCGAAGCACGGAGAATATCATGATGTTCTTCGTGAAGCAAAGACGACAAGACAACAATACTTTTTCCGTACAACTTTGAGTAAGTGTTAATAATAATGTAGTCTACACATTTTATGTAATATCAATACAACTTATATGCATGTACGTGTGTATAAAACCAATGCAGCTTTTCATCGGATACTCATTGTCATTGAGTTAAACTCAAGTCGGTTAGTAATCTTTGACTCGTTGAGAAAAGAGCGGGCACTATACCAAGATATGATAAACATTATCCAGGGGTAATTTCGATCTCTTGCGCACAACTATTATTGAATAGACTTTGCCATAATTTATTAACGATCGTACATTATTGGTCGCACAGGGTTTGGAAAGAGTTTATTCGGCAACATCGCAAGGATTGCAAGGCACCACTTAATGTAGTTGAAATATAAGTAAGTTGTACTATATACACTTCTCCACGTGTTTAATTACTATATCGTACTTCAATTTACGTGTGAGATGATGAGAATAATCTTCTTCTCATACAGTGGTGTTTGCGGCAGCAACCAGGTAATAACTTGTGTGGATACTACGTTTGTGAATTTATCATCACGCACATAAGAAGAACTCCTAAAGATGTCCTCGAGTGCGTATATATCAATTTTTATTTATTTTTAAATGAATATATATATATATATATATTAATACTTTTCCTTTTATTTCAAATGCAAGACCGAATGGTTGAAACGAAGGGTCATGCAAAAGACCATCCGAAAGCAGCTCAAGAGTCAATAGCAGGATTTCTTCTAGAAAAAGTGCTAAATCCCAACGATTTAGTTCTACTTTGATCCTAAGGAATAAATGGTGTAAATTAAATGTTTATTGATATCGTTATTTTCGAGAACAAGATTATGAAAGTGTTGTATATATACATATATATATAATATATATAGGTTCATACTTTATTCGAATATAATAATGCTCGAGATGAGAATTAGATGTAATTATATGCGTGCGTGTATTTATATTAGCAGCGTAGAATACGTACATAAAAATATATTATATATTAAACAAATACGTGTAACTAAACTGAAAACAAATTAAACAAAAAAAAAGAAAAAGAAAAGAAACCTTTAGTCCCGGTTGGGGTTACCAACCGGGACTAAAGGGTGCGGTCACGTTTTCTCGGCTAGAGGGTCTTACCAACCGGGACTAAATGTCCCTCTTTAGTCCTGACTCGATGACCCGGGACTAAAGGTGGCACCTTTAGTCCCGGGATCGTTGTCTCGGCGCGGTAACCGGGACTAAAGGCCGTTACCGCCCGGGACAACAAGTCCATTCTATAGTAGTGTTGTCGTGCTCGTAACCGCCCAGGCCCGCACGCTGCTCCGCCCCAAGCATTGCTCCGCCGCACGCTAGCCCTACGAGCGAGTAGCCATCGCACGGCTGTGCCTCCGCCCTATGTGTCGGCCGCCGCGGGCGAGCGTGGCTCAGTCTCCACCATGCACGTCGACCGGGGGAGCCTGCTGGGAGGGGAGCGCCGCCACGTGCACGTGGTAGCTGCGGGAGCCCACCGAGAGGGGAGCGGTCGATGTGGGAGATCGGGGTTGGGGAGAGCGGGATGCGGCATTAGGAAGCGCCAGGAAAACGCAAGGGGGTGGGAGCCCCCATGGAAAATTCTCCTATTAGGAGATGAGGATGCGGAGAAGTTAGTCTCCACGGGGAATGAAATAAGGAGAAGACTCCCTGTCTGGCAACGTAGACACTCATAAGTCATAAAGCATGCACACTCACCCCCTATGAATGCACGCACATAAATCCTACCCCTATGAGCATTTTCGAAGACTGGGCTGGCAAACTCTCGAGATTGACGAAGTCACCACAGGCGTCTCGCTATCGACGGGAACGTCGCATACCACTGAAAGCACAACGCCGTCAAATACTGGAATATTCGCTCCCACGAAGAGTCGAACCTAGAAGCTAAGATGCTACTGAGTCTCTTGTAATTACTAGGCTATAGGCCCTTTCGCATTGTTAATCTATTATTGAATTTGTAAGAATTAATAAGCTTAAGTGGGTACGGGAATCTCTATGGGGATTAATTTCCTGGTGGAGACGGGAATGAGGAAAAAATTATCCCTGATGATATTCGCGGGGACTGGGACGACTACAACAACCACCAACCAACCTAGTCGCCTAGTGAGCCATGGCCGCCGCCGTAGCAGCAGGTAACGAAAGCGAGCTGCAGTCTGCTGCTGCTCTTCAGCCCCCACTCACCACCGCAGCCGCAGCCGCCGATGCCCGGCCAGTGGCTACACTAGATCCGCGGTTCTTGATGGCTGCTCGCCGCGGCGACAGCAAGGCGCTCAAGGACCAGCTCCAGCTCAACGATGACGACGGCAACGACGACCAACAAGGTGAAGACACACGGGCGGACGACGAGGGGAGCGGGACACCCACCACCGATTCTGCAGCGTCCGCGACCACGTCCGTGGAAGCGGCACCATCGATATCACCGCCGGACCACATAGTGGATGTGGATCCACGGCGTCCTGACGCTGTTGCTGCGCATCTGCCGCCACCACCGCCGGTCCCGGTCCTCGATGAGGATGGGGTGACCACCGAGGAGGGCTCACTGTTGGTCCACAGTGAAATAGTGGAACAAGTCGTCGTCGAGCCACCGCCTCCTCATGATGATGTTGCGCCGCCGGCGCGGCAGCCACCAGCGGCAGCACCAGCAGGATCGTTCCCAGCAGCAGTCCCGGTCCTCGATGAGGATGGTGTGACCATGGAGGGAGACTCCCTGCTGCACGTGGTTGCGGCATGCGGCGACACGCAGGAGTTCCTTGACTGCGTTGATGTTATCGTCCGCAACAAGGAGAAGAAGGGCGGTGCTGGTGGCAAGCGCCGAGCACTGGAAGCGCCTAACAACAAGGGCGACACGCCCCTGCACTGCGCTGCCCGTGCTGGGAACGTCAACATGATGTCTTGCCTCGTCGATCTGCTGATGGAAGCCACCGCCGCCGACGAGGCGGCGGTGAAGAAGTTCCTGAGAAGGAAGAATAGGTGTGGGGAGACCGCGCTGCACCAGGCGGTCCGCGCCGCCAGCAAGGCCGCCATCGACAAATTACTTTCCGTGGATCCAGAACTGGCGTGCAGCAGTAGCCGGGCCCGGGAGGAGGATGCTCATGCTGGTGCTGCTTGCTCCCCGTTCTTCCTGGCCGTTTCATTATGGGGTGAGCATGATGAAATGGATATCGCACGCCATCTCTTCGTTAAAACAAGGCGTAGCATCAGAAGCGAGCTATCCTACTACTGCTCCGGACCAGATGGACGGAACGTCTTGCACGCGGCTGTTTCACGTGCTAGCGTGAAAACAGTTGTTCTACTCTCGCAGCTGCTGACCAGCGTGGAAATGGAAACACCACCTGGTCTGCTGCTAGTCTCGCAGCTGGCCAGCCAGAGGGACAAGGAGAACGGGAGCACACCTCTTCACTTCGCTGCATCCCTTGGTGGCTTGCCGTCGTCACCGCTAGTTTTAGGCGGGAGCCGCTACTGGCAGATACTCCCGCTTATGCCATCCCTCGTGCTGAATGCTAACGTGGCCATGGCATATCAGCCGGACAAGACAGGTCTGTACCCTATACACGTCGCTGCAGGGAGTGGCAGCCTCCGCGTCGTGGAGATGCTGCTGAAGAGGTGCCCGGACTGCGCCACCCTGCGGGATGCCAAGGGAAGGACGCTCCTCCACGTCGCTGCAGAGAAGGGTCGCTACAACGTGGTCACATATGTGTGCAGCCAGAGCCAGAAGCAGAGGCAGAGCCGCCGTGCCTGTCCGGGTTCAGCTGCTGCAGCAGCTGCAAGGCTAGCAGGTCTCTTGTCCTCGATCCTGAATGCTCAGGACATGAACGGGGACCAGGGTTCAAAATTTCGGCGAAATTTCGGCCGAATTTTACGAAATTCGGTAATTTCGGTGGTGGCCGAAAGAAAACTCCGAAATTTTTTAATACACTAATACATGTGCTATATAACTCTAATCTTATATTTTTCTATTGTTTATATTGTATATTCTTCTATTTAATAGATATGTAGTCATAAATCATACTAATATTTGTTTAGATCCAAATTTTTTTAGGAAAAACATACTTCATGTGCTAATCTCTAAAAAAAATTCGGCGAAATTTCGGCCGAATTTCGCGAAATTCGGTAATTTCGGTGGTGGCCGAAATTTTGGCGATACCGAAATTAAAAACCTTGACGGGGACACTCCCCTGCACCGCGCTGTCCATGCTGCCCAGCTTCTAGTCGTCCAACGCCTTATTGGGAACCAGCAGGTGCGCTTGGATGTACCCAATAATGTGGGCATGAGGCCTATTGATGTTTCATGGACCACCATGCCACTAGAGGCCTATTACGCATGGGTAAGTAATTCAATTATATCTGTTAATAGTAATGATTGTTAATTTAGCTCCTTATTACTCATCATTATTATCTGTCTTGCGACTCTGCCTTCTGATGCATGCATGGCCATTTATTTGTTTGTTTTGTTATTTTCTGTTTTGCAGGATCCAAGAATAATGATACGTAGATCACTGTTACGATTAGGAGCTCCCTATGGTGAAAATAATCGGGGCGACCTGTTCCGCAAAAAATGCGTCCTCTCCAACCAAGACGAGGAGAAGAAGATGTCGGAGAATCTAACAGCTGCAGCACAAGTTCTAGCCCTTTTCTCCGTTCTCATTACAACCGTGACATTTGCATCAGCTTTTACGTTGCCCGGAGGCAGCCGATCAGCCGGCGACGGCACTGGTGGTGGTGTCGCCGGCACACCGGTGCTTGGCAGGCCCCGGAGGAGCTACGCTTTTGATGCGTTTATCCTCGCCGACGCCCTGGCGTTTGGCTTCTCTCTCTTAGCTACCTCCCTCCTGCTCTATGCCGGGGTGCCTGCTGGGACCCTACAGGGACGCTTCCGACTCATTAATTTTGCATACGGCTTGATGTGGCATTCTGCAAGGAGCCTGCTGGCTGCGTTTGGCCTGGGGCTCTTCGTGGTCCTGCTTCCAGTTGCCCGCTCCATTGCAATTGCGGTCGCTGTCTTGATGGTTTATCTTGCAGCTGAGATCATTAAGGAATCCGAAGGCATCAATTCTCTGGGTGACATTCCTATGATTGGAATTGGCAGAAGTCGACAACTGTCACCACGCGACCGAGTGTTAGGCTCGATTCTTTTTGTCTACAACAACTTCTGGTCCTACGTACTAATCTTTGGCTTCCCAGCAATTCGAAGGTGGCCAAGGTTTTCCTTAAGTCCTTATTAATTCCTTATAATAAGTATATATACATGCATGATGCATCTATCGAGATGTCCACGTTCATGTGTGTGTGTGTGTCAGTGTGTGTGTACGCGTGCGCGCTTGTCGTCTGAGTGTGTTAATAAGCAGTGTAATATACCAAGCTGTTGCTTCCTAGTACAAATTCTGCAGCGTCCGCGACTACTGTATATGATCATTTCGGTACTGATTCTATTGTTTATATATTATTATATCCCATGTCTCGGTGCGATGTACAAATTAAACTCAGTTTTCCTATTGTTATGCTTATAGATGCCGCATACTAGCATCATTACGTACATAATGATGTGATAGATGTTAATACTATTCTATATAAATCTGGTCACATTTTAGGATAGTTTGACTTGGAACGAGCGTAGATCCCTTATATTTCAGGACGATTAAAGTAGTCGCGCAACCGTGATTGTGGGAAAACTGAAGTAACAAATGAAACAAGCATGGACCCGGGAGTGACAAGGCACAACTACAATATAAACGCAGCTGTCGCGCGCACTTTGAAACATCACAATGGGCGCCTAGGACAAGCTCACTAAAGAATGTGGACTTCCGTGCTAGGCAAGATCTTTCCATCAAGGTATTTTCTGGCAGCAGCTCGCATATCCACGTACTCTGACTCCCTACGGAAACAACGACCTACCTGCTTCTTCCTCGGATCTATAGTCAAAACCTTCAGGTCAGGAGCATTTTCCACTATATGTACCAGGAACTCAAGCTGTCCCTTGACCGAATTAAACCCGGTAAGAAGCACGTTCCTTAGATACTTGTATGAACTGCCTTCGAAGAAATCAAGAAGATCAAACTGCATACAACAATACAACAGTATGTATAATCAGCATATTTGCAATGAAGCTATATATGATCCCTAATTCCTATGTCAAAAAAAAAATGCATTCCCACTTCTGAGCTGTCAGTCTGTCACCATAGGTTCTGTACAATTTTTTTGTCCATTCAGTCTTTGTAAATGATGGAAGTATTTCATAAATGATGAAATCTCCACTAATTAAATGGCAGACAAAATCTTCAACTTAATCAGAGAAAATTAGTGCTATATGTCCACTAATTTCACACTTTGTAATTGCTTCTCACCCTTTCTAGCGGAACCACATAGAAATGAGACATGTTTTTGCAACTGTAAGTACAAATCTTAGGTAACCAACTAACAACTGGTGACAAGTTTATTATAAGCATAATAATCTAAATAATATAAAGTACACCAGCAGTCCTTAAAAGGTTTCCATAGTGTCACATGTGTGCAAACTCTCAGAATGCAGATTTGGGTCCCTAAACTTGTCAAGTATGCCACCTCAGATCCAAATCTCCATAATTAGCATATACTATCTGCCTATGTGTTATGCCAGCATAGATCCTGACAAGTTGGGCCCCTGTAGCAGCATAGTTCCCAAAAAAAGAATTAAACTATGTAGCCCATGCTGTTGCATGCTAGGCATCTGAATAGTAATTAGTTGGATTCTTATATGGGGCAAAATATAATATAGATAGTACTACACAAAACAAAAGTATAATCTGTGGTGAATTTACATAGTGTTGTAATAAAGAAATAGGAAAAAGGAAATCGCAAGGTAAAGTTACCGAAAAAATACATTTACAAGGGATCACGTCTATCAACACAGAAGGGTACTTACATGCACCTCCAGTTCCTCGATGAAAGGGAAAGCTCTCAGGAAAGATGCCAATGAGAGAATATTAGGAGTGCTTCTAGTATCAATTAAGAGCAACAACCGTAAAATTTTGAACTGAGAAAAAATGCAAATTTTGTCCAGCAATAAGGGCGTCTGAAAGAAAGAAAGAAAACGGTTAGACAAAAACAAACTTCAAGAGGTACTAATAACGACTCTTAAGACTAGCGATGTGTTGCAAGAACATACCTCTAAAGGTAGATAAGTATCCAGAGTGAAATTTTTTACACATGTAAGAATGTTTGGAAGCACACAGTGATGGCATAGTTAAGAGTGGCACCATTCAGATGAACTTGTGCTGTCTCTAGTTGCTTAACTTGACCAAGGTCAATAGTTACTCGCGCTCCATGGTATACAAAAGTCTTCAGATTTTCTGCTTGTAACTCTATTTTCGTCATATTTCAATCCACGATACGTAAGTACATTAAATGGTCCAATGGTTTTTTCACCGTTAGCTCATCTTTCATGCAACATGTACTTAAGCTCAACCACGTCAGAGTAGAGCAACCAGCTAACATATCTTCAAGATTCTTTCTAGATACAGAAAATAATTGCAGATCAAGCTTCTTCAGATTTTGGAAACCCATAAACTGGGAACCTGGTTTTAAGGATACACAACTAAGCTGAAGATGTTGTAACCGTGATATGCTTGCACTGTCAAAAAGTTCAAAGGGGAAGATATACATATCCTCCTTACCAATGAATTCAGCTGGCAGTAAATCCAATGCTAGATTCTTTGTTAGAGACGGTCACGACACAGCAAAACTGATCCAATTATTCAGATGACCACCAAGCATATCATCAAATTCAACTCTGACATCAAGCTCTTCAACCATCTCACCATGAAACTGGCGCACTACCGTATTAACAATGTCAATGCATTGTTGGGTATATCTTTTTTTTGTCACGGAAGTAACGACGCTGGCCACGTATTGCAGTGCAATCAAGACTTAGTCTGGAAGAAATAATCCACATACGCCTCCACTTACTTGACAGAACACTGGTCCTGACTACCTCACTGTATTGGAGTTTTGAAAATATTATGCGTAGTACATCCTGCAGCAAAATAGCGCTATGTCATTAGCATTGCCCCAAAGTTTGGGAATTTAATTTAAATCTCAACACCAACCCTAATAAGATACATTCACGTACCTCTGGGAGGTCTGCAAGTTTAAGATCTGATCTCCACTTTCTGTAGGATAGTTCTTTAGAGAAATGATTTGCTGTGCTTCTGCAGACAAGGTTATTTCCTTTCCCGATGCTACAGTACATAATGTCAAATTCCCCAATTAGTTACAATGCTGGTGGGCAGTCAGAAGGACTTATGAGCAGTAGTAATGAATTTAATGAGACAGGTTATGTCAAAAAAATGTCAACTCGGAAAATATCAAGAAATATAACCAGATGTTACATCTGACACTGATAAGGCCTAAGCATGAACCATGTACATATATAACTATATAAGTACATATACAGTAAAATTCTTAAACTTTGACCACTATCATACGGAAAAGCTCTTTTTAGTGGATCTGTTACCAGAAGTACTTACAATTTCGGAAGAAGAAAAAAAGATAAGCTGCATGTCAATGACTTATAGTGGTATTACTTTATTAGTATTAAATACTAGTACTTGGTGCGCGGCGCCATGGTCCTTAGTAAATAGAGCAAAAAAGACTCAGGATCCATATACTCTGCTACTTTTTATTAGATAATAAAGGAATATTCTCTTTACTCTGCTGTGCTATCAGATCAACTGACCAAGCAACCATTCTAATTGACATTTGATGCATCTAGCGAGACCAGCAGGGCCGCCAACGCCGCCGTCGCTAATTTTGGGATGGCCGAACGCACAGCGACGGGAACGGCCGACGATGCCAAAAATGCCCCCGCGCAGGGGCGAGGGCACATCCGAGGATCTCCATAGGTGGGCCAGTTGTACGCCGCAGTGGTCTGGACTGTGTTGCCCGCCCTCGACACGCTGAGCAAAGCCGCCATGGCTCCTTCCTATCGTCCCACCGCTCCGAGATTTAACTTTTTAAGTCATATCGAATGACCACTCCTCGTATAACACTTTAATCGTTGTCGCTGCGTCAGGCTACAAAACTACCGTTTTTACTCACGTGGACCCTGCTCCCTTCCTATACTCTCGCCCCTCCCTGCTGTTGCCCCATGCACGCCGCCGCCGCCGGCACTCGGCGAACCGCTTCAACACCGCCTGGACTACTACGCCATGGCGAGCAGCATCGACATGGGAACCGCCACCGCATTCCGCCGTTCACCATGGCGTGCGCGGCTGGCATCGAGGAAGCCCTTGACGCAGCCCTCGTCACCGTCCCCTGTTGGGTGCTCGGGACTCTCCGGCATGCCCGCGAACGAGCAGCACCTGCAACGAGGAGGCGGTGGTGGGCATGTGCGCGCGTGCGACCGTGGCTTCTGTGGCGGCGGCACGGTTTCAATCGCTGGACCTAGCCTGGGACCTGGAGTGCGGGCCCGCGCTCGACCGCGGACATGGCGGACACGGAGGATGCCGCGCCGCCGCATCGACCACCGCAATGAACTCGAGATCCCGCCGAGCTTCGTCCCCTAGGAGACGGAGGCAGACGCGAAGAGGGGAGGAGCGCGAGGGGATGCTACGAGGAACGATGGCGTCGAGGCGACGACGGCTGCCGTCGGCCTGGCCTGCGACACGACGCGCAGGAGGTGCGTGTGCGCGGGGCCTCCGATTCTGTACCTGGTTGGGTCCGGGGGCACGACGGGCACCGCCGCGAGTCCCGCGCGCTGGCCATGCCGGAAGCTCCCGCAGTGGTCGAGGCCATCGTCGTGCTAGGAGAGGCGGGCACGAACTGTGATGGCGAACAGCGCGCTGCGGGCAGGGGGGAGAGGAAGAGGCACGGCGATGAGGAATAGCCACCCGCTTTGGCCCACTTCCTGCTGCCGCCGTTGGCAGGCCTGCCGTCCATCACGGGGCGGCGAGCCGACGACACGTCGGGCACGAGCCGTGGGACAGCAGCCAGGCGTCGATGCATGGGGCGTGGAACCCGCGCTCGCACCGTGGCAGCACGCCAAGACCAGCATGGTGGTCACGCACCGGGGCGCCTCCACGATCTCGGCTACGCGAGCGCACCTTCCGCAACGGCCTCATCGCGCTCTACCTCACACGGCGAGCGCGCGCGCGAGGTGGCCCTGTTCGACGCGTTCCTGGCCGGCGACGGCCTGGACGTGGTTTCCTAGATGGCCATGGTGACCGAGCACGCAAGGCTGGGCCTCGCC